ATATACATATATATATATATATATATATATATATATATATATATATATATATATATATATATGCATATATATATATAAATATATATGCATACATGAATACTTATGTATGTACAAACACACACACACACACATATATATATGCGTGTGTGTGTGTGTATGTGTATGCAATACCGACGGTGCCCACGTGACCACAATGCGACACATGATGCAATCTATTTTTCTCTTTTTATATATAATTCCAGCGGCTATAAATCAATAAAATGGATGTAGAAAGGAATCAAATCCAGAACATGACGCAACAAAGGAATCCGACTCCCCCCCCCCCCCTGTTCTCTCTGTTCTTTTGGCGCCCTCTCAGCAGACGTCATATGTTGAAGTCCCTTTAGCGAGAGGATTAGAAAGGAAATTACGTCGACCTTATCTTAGAGATGCTGATAACATGATAAGATTTTTGTTGTGAAACCATCAAAGGTATTTTCATGATAATAGTTGTGATTGCATAAAAAAGAGAAAAAGAGTAATGAATGGATAGATGTGAAAAGCGGGAAGATAAGAAGGAGAAAGGGGAAACAGAGAAAAGGATGATAATGAGAATAATGAAACAAGTAATTAATTTGTGTGCAGCGATGAAATTAAGACACAATAACAAATAATAAGAAAGGATTAAAATTCGTGACATTTCGAGCTAAGCCAAACGTTCCGTCAAGCGTTAATTCTTTTCATTTGGGGGGGGGGCTGATAATGGTGTCTAGTTTTACACGAAACGTTACGCTCTGATATTCTCCCCTTGCTGTGTCGTATCTCGCGTTAATACCAAAAAAAAAAAAAAAAAAAAAAAAAAAAAAGAATAATAATTCCTACAGAACGTTTTCCTTATATATTGCAGTTATCCTGTCCTCCTTAACAACTTTTTTTTCCTATGGCACCATCGGGTACAATAAACTTTACATGATATTCCAACAGCGGAAATACCTACGTTGTGATGAAAGGCGCTCCCTTATCTGCTATCACCTCCTTCCTCATCGTTTTTCCCAATAGTATGCATACACATATGTACATGTATATATACACGTCTGCATGCATACATATGTGTAAACATGCCTATATGTATGTGTATGTATATATATATATATATATATATATATATATATATATATATATATATATATATATATATATGTGTGTGTGTGTGTGTGTGTGTGTGTGTGTGTGTGTGTGTGTGTGTGTGTGTGTGTGTGTGTGTGCGTGTGTGTATGGGTGTGTGTATTAAGTGTAAACATTTATATATATATGTATATATATATATGTGTGTGTGTGTCTGTATATATATATATATATATATATATATATATATATATATATATATATATGTATATACATATTTATGTATATATGTATATATATATATATATATATATATATATATATATATATATATATATATATATATATATATATATATGTATATACATATTTATGTATATATGTATATATATACATATATATATACATATATATATATATATATATATATATATATATATATATATATATATATATATATATATATATATATACATACATATATATATATATATATATATATATATATATATATATATATATATATATATACATATATACATATATATATATATATATATATATATATATATATATATATATATATATATATATATACATATATATATATATATATATATATATATATATATATATATATATATATATATATATGTTTGGATCCTCGTTTTTTCTTAAATCAGGCTCATTCATCTGCGAGATGGAAATTTTATACTCAGTCCCGTAACACTCAACAGGATAATGGCAAGAATTTATTAATTATTCCGTATAACCCGTCCTTAGAAGGGAAACGACACATGCTTAAAGGCGTTGGTATTGACATTGTGTTTACTTATCCAAACACGTTGCGCAATACTTTAGTTAAGCACAATGCGACTAGCGGTGCCCTTGAGACGTCTCCCGGTATTTATACTATACACTGTAAGGATTGCCCCAAGTTTTATATAGGCGAGACCGGTAGAGCTTTCGAGAAGAGAATTAATGAACATAAACGCGATGTTAGATATGCTAGAGATTCCAATGCGTGTTTTGTTCATTTGCGAGATGAAGGTCACCAGCTTAACTGGAAAAATGCTAAATTGATTCACAAATCAGCTAATTCGTACGAAAGGAAAATGTTGGAATCTTTATTAATTAGAAAAATGCCTAACTTTAACTTGAGTGCTGGTCAATGGGGCTTGGATGACCTTACCTCTTCGCTTGTTAGCAGAGCCTTTCCTAGACTCTTCGACCTTGACCCTCCTCCTGAGACCTGATTCTCCTCTTGCTCAGTCTGACTCTCAACCACTATATATTCTTCTCAAAATTCTCTCCTTGTATCCATTTTTGTTTTTTCAGTTGTTTGAAGAGGAACTCGTGAAGAGTTCGAAACGTTACATTTCAATTTCGTTTCTTA